AGCAGTGGCAGCTCAGCCTGCTGAGACATTACTCCCTATTGAGGGACAGACACCCCACAGCTTCTTAATATAGTCCAATCTTCAGTCTTATGGTCAGTAGGCATGTGACTGTCTTCTGTTCTGACTAGTTTTGGGGTGAAAATAGGTTTTGCAGACAAATAGTTAAGTACTTCCCAGGCTTGAATTGAGAAAACTGTTATGACGGTGGTCAATCTTGGTGCCTGGGCCCTGGAGTTTGACAATCTTGTGCCATTCACGGGACTTTGTTATTTCTGGTGGTGGCTGTCTTCGTCAGTTCCCAATGCTGTAACAAGTGGCTGTAGACTGGGTGGCTTCAGCAACAGTGTTCATTGTTCACCTTTCTGGAGGTTTGGAAAATCAAGACCAAGGCACCAGAGTGTGTCTGCTTGGGCACACTCCCAGATTTGTTGACAAGCATCATTTCCTTGTAGCCTCACGTGGAGAGCAGCGAGAATCCCATGTCTTCTCTTCACAGAGGACCCCATCCTCACAATCAAGTTAAACCTTATTTCCCTCCCACAAGTCTTGTTTCCAATTGTCATCACATTAAATATAGAATTTCAGCTTCTGAATTCAAGGGAGACACAATCATGTAAACCATAACAGTGGTGATGTGGTGTTTGACCCAGAGTTTTTTTTTTTTTAACTTTTATTTAATGAACATAAATTTCCAAAGTACAGAATATTGATTACAATGGCTTCCCCCCATAATGTCCCTCCAACCTGCAACCCTCCCCTTATCCACTCATTCTCCCCTTCCATTCACATCAAGATTCATTTTCGATTCTCTTTATATACAGAAGATCAGTTTAGCATACATTAAGTAAAGATTTCAACAGTTTGCACCACACAGAAACATAAAGTGAAAAATACTGTTTGAGTACTAGTTAAAGCATTAAATCTCAATGTACAGCACACTAAGGACAGAGATCCTACATGAGGAGTAAGTGCACAGTGACTCCTGTTGTTGACTTAACAAATTGACACTCTTGTTTATGGCATCAGTAATCACCCTCGGCTCTTGTCATGAGCTACCAAGGCTATGGAAGCCCCCTGAGTTCACTGACTATGATCATTTTTAGACAAGGCCATGGTCAAAGTGGAAGTTCTCTCCTCCCTTCAGAGAAAGGTACCTCCTTCTTTGATGACCCATTCTTTCCACTGGGATCTGACTCGTGGAGATCTTTCATTTAGGTTTTTTTTTCCCCCAGAGTGTCTTGGCTTTCCATGCCTGAAATACTCTCATGGGCTTTTCAGCTGGATCCGCATGCCTTAAGGGCTGATTATGAGGCCAGAGTGCTGTTAGGACATTTGCCATTCTATGGGTCTGCTGTGTATCTCACTTCCCATGTTGGGCCATTCTCTCCCTTTTTGATTATATCAGTTAGTATTTGCAGGCACTATTCTTGTTTATATGACCCCTTTGGTTCTTAGTCCTATCATTACGATCAATTGTGAACAGAAATTGATCACTGGGACTAGAGAGATGGCATTGGTACATGTCACCTCGATGGGATTGAATTCGAATCCCCTGGTATGTTTCTAACTCTACTGTTTGAGGTAAGTCAGCTTGAGCATGTCCCGAATTGCACATCTCTTCCCTCTCTTATTCCCACTCTTATATTTAACAGCGATCACTTTTCAGTTAAGTTTCAGCACTTAAGAAGAATTGTGTATTGATTACAGTATTCAACCAAAAGTATTAAGTAGAACAAACAATAAAATACTAAGAGGGATAACATATTAAGCTGCTCATCAACAGTCAGGTTGAAGGCTGATCAAGTCACCGTTTCTCATAGTGTTCATTTCACTTTAACAGGTTTCCTTTTTGGTGCTCAGTTAGTTGTCACCTATCAAGGAGAACAAGTGGTATTTGTCCCTTTGGGACTGGCTTATTTCACTCATCATAATGTTTTCCAAATTCCTAACAGCGATCACTTTTCAGTTAAAATTTAAAAACCTAAGAAACATTGTGTGTTAATTACAGAGTTCAACCAATGGTACTAGAACAAAAAAAAATACTAAAATGGATAAATTATTACATTGTACATCAAACGTCAGGAAAAGAGCTGATCAAGTCACTGTTTCTCATAGTGTCCATTTCACTTCAACAAGTTTCCCCTTTGGTGCTCAGTTAGTTGTCGCCGATCAGGGAGAACATATGATATTTGTCCCTTTGGGACTGCCTTAATTCACTCAGCATGATGTTTTCCAGATTCCTCCATCTTGTTGCAAATGACCAGATTTCGTTGTTTTTGACTGCTGTATAGTATTCTATAGAGTACATGTCCCATAATTTCTTTATCCAGTCTACTGTTGATGGGCATTTCGGTTGGTTCCAGGTCTTAGCTATTGTGAATTGAGCTGCAATAAACATTAATGTGCCGACTGCTTTTTTGTTTGCCAATTTAATTTCCTTTGGGTAAATTCCAAGGAGTGGGATGGCTGGGTTGAATGGTAGGGTTATATTCAGGTTTCTGAGGAATCTCCAGACTGATTTCCATAGTGGCTTGACCAGTTTGCATTCCCACCAACAGTGGGTTAGTGTCCCTTTTTCCCCACATCCTCTCCAGCATCTATTGTAGGTAGATTTCTGAATGTGAGCCATTCTAACTGGGGTGAAGTGGAACCTCCTTGTGGTTTTGAATTGCATTTCCCTGATTGCTAGTGATCTTGAACATTTTTTCATGTGCCTGTTGGCCATTTGGATTTCCTCTTTTGAAAAATGTCTATTGAGGTCCTTGGCCCATCTCTTAAGTGGGTTGTTCGTTTTGATCTTGTGGACCCAGAGTTTTAATGGTGATAGAAAAGATTGTGATGGTCTTTTTTTCACGCTGGTTATAGACAAATATACCACCCTTCCTTGACTTTCTGCCCTAACTCGCTAGTAAAACCCAACTCTCCTCTTCTTGATCCCAATCCATGGACAGCTGATGGAGAAAATTATGCAAGTTTGCAGGTTCATGATATCTGTGAATTCCAGCTCTGCCATTTTCTATCTGTATTACCATGTGCAATAATCTCAACCAGTTTCCCTATCTGAAAAGCCATGAGAAATTCTCTATTTTATACAGTGCTTGTGAAGTCTAAGTGAAATTATGCACATAAAGCACTTAGCATATTATAAATATGTAGTAAATCAGTAAATGTTAACTGTTATGATTCTAGTCCCAGCTGGAGTTGATGATTTTAACTTTTCCCTCTCCCATTCTGCATAATCACAATTTTGAACTTCATTCTCCCCTAAAGCTTTATCACTTCCAGGCATACTGTCAACTGATTGCTTCAGAATTTACACAGAAAATCTTTCTCTGAGGAGTACGAGACAACACAAAGTTCCAGAATTGCCCTAAGTTTTTAGAGTTCTGTGTTGTAGGATGCAACCTCTCTCTATTCTTCTGTCCCAAATGCTCCTTCCACTCCTGCCCTCACCACACACACATATACATACGATGTGGAGTTGGGCTATGGTATATGGGAGTAGAACTTGGCCCAGTATTCAAAAATTCACCATCCTCATCAAGAGCTACAGCTCCCAAGTCCCATTAAGTAGGCCTATGTGAGTTAAAGATACTTTATCAGTGATTCATACCCTGGATCAGGTGCTCTGCTGATCCAGTCTCTGATTTAACCTGCAGTACATCAAAATCCTCACTTACCAGGGACAAGTAATGAATGAGATGACACTTCGGAGTCATTCCAGCTCTAATTTCTCATTATTATAATGTTTTAACATTTATGAGCTGCAGCCAATCGTGTTCTGGAGCCTGCTTGCCCTCCTCACAGAGTTGATTAATTTTTCAGTAATTTTGTAAATCAGTTGTTAAATAAAGTCATTCTTAAAAATTAAATTATAATTTAATGAATCATTAAAAACAAAGATAATGCCCTGAACTCATCACAACCTAATTGTTTTACTCCATTTTCCTATTATCTACGCCTTTGAGATTATTTATGCCTGCTGTGTGAGTGTCATTGGAATAGCATATGATAATGTGTGTCTCTCTTCACAGCTCCACAATCAGTGAAGTTACATTGATGCTTTGTGTCAGCCACAGTAGCTACCAATCAGAGCTTGATTTATTCTGTTTTTGATAGTCTAGAGTAAGCAATAGAGAACATATTAATATTGCAATGAAATTTAGGTGTCTGTTTCCATTTAACTGTGAAGAGTACAAAAAATGGACTATTTTCCCAGTGTTTGAAGCAAAGGTATTTTCACATCATTGGCACACTAACGAAGTTCTGACATACATATTTATTGTTTCATTTCACTTTGATCTTACTCATGAGTGTAGATACAATTATCAACCCATACTCAAATCAGAACTACACTGGTTCATCAACAACAACAGCAGATTGGCTATGTAAGGACAAAGAGTTCAACAAATCTGTGCTACCGCATTCTTTAAGAGACAATTGGCTATATGGGCTTTAAAACAAAAAATGCTGTATGTTTTATCATTTCCTGTCAGCTATGGATGTACATATGTTATATCAGGAAAATGAATAGTATGCTTACTGATATAAGTATAGATTAACATAATTTTTTTCCAGAGAGCCTTCTGTCAAACATTTGCTAGGACACTTTTGGTTCTAAGGTTGTTTCTATTATTTCCTAATGGAAGAGTCAGCCAGAGCTTAGAGAATTTGAATTTATTTTCAAATGCCAGATCTAAGGGGTTCGAGAGATCCCAAGATATTGATTTTTACTTCTTCAAATATTTGTATCTCAATCCATTTTCTATTGCTATAACTGAATACCCCAGTCTAGATAACTTGTAAAGAATAGAAGTTTATTTGGCTCCAGGTTCTGGAGGATGAGATGTTTATGAGCATCTAGTGAGGGTCTCTCTACTATGTCCCAACATAGTGAAAAGTATCATATGGCAAGTCAGAACACAAGGACTGGCCATCATGGGGCCCTATACTTTATGACCTCATTGACTTCTAATTGTCTCCAAAAGCCTTGCCTTCTCATACCATTTGGAGGACATATTCAATCTATAGCAACACATGACAATTATAGTGATCTGACAACTGACCAAAGCACTTGTCAAACCTTGGATATAGGATAGAACCTATGCTACAGGAAGCACCAGCTATTCAGCATCTGCCATTCTGCTTAGTTGTTGAAGCATTAGGAGAAGGCAGCAAACACCCTGCAAGATGTTCCAGGGAGAGAAGGCACTCAGCTGGCGTTGTATTTGCCCTGTTCTCCCACTACCTCATCAAGCCAGACCCAGTGATACAAGGCTGCTCCTCCTCCCGCCCTGTGAGGAGACACAAAGCTTCATGGATCCCATCTGCTCTCAGACAGTGTCTCAGGTCTAAAAGGAGACATGACTACGAGTGATTGCACAATGGTTCACATATGCACGTCAGTTCCCCAACAACTTGGCCAGTGGGGATAATAGCAATCCCCTGGAGATGCAAAGGACAACTCAAAACATCTAACAATTGGATATGATGATATGTGAAGGGCCTAGGAAAGCTAAATTTATGTAACAGAAAAGAGAAGACTCAGAGGGACATGGTTATCAGCTATAAATTTTTTCAAGGTAAGAATAAAATATAGGAAGACAATTGTGGGTATCATGGTTTAATGACAAGAAATTGATACTATTTGGTGCAAAGGAAGAACAAACTTTGCCTTTGACTATAGAAAATATCTTAAGAAAAAGTTTGTGTTCTAAGGTAAAAAGTTAAAATTCCATTTCTAATGTATATTAAGTAATGGATTAAATGGTTAGGTAAAAGTATGATGATTATAATAGAAACTTTCAAAATGAATATCTTTAAAGGAGAATGTTTATTACGGTTCTGTGCCAATAGATATATAAATATACAGGCTATATTAAAATACAACTTTATTTCATAGATTTACTATATCTGTGACCATATTTTTCTTAAGGATGTTACTTGTACAACAATAATAAAAACTTGTGTTTTTCTGTTTTGTATTTCTCATGCTGACAATCCTATTATGTATAGTTTCTTTGAGTCACCTAACTGGGAGTACAGGTTAGATTTCATTATGATTGGGTTGAACGCATTCTCTGCACAATCATCTGTAGAATTCTAATAGAGAATTTATTGAGTTTCTACCATGTCGAAGGCACAGTATCAGTGAAAGAGATGATTAAGCAAAATATAAGTGTTATAAACATCAACTTGGAGGACCTGTAAAGAAGTCATTACATAAAGAATATCTGACCTTTGTCTTATTGTTCTCAGAAATTTCCAGTTTGCAATTTAAGAGATGAAACTTTACCTTAGTGTTCTGATCATTTTAAATCAAGAGTTTTTGAATAAATTTAACACTGTTTTTTTATTTAAGATAAAATAGGAACTGGAAAGGAAATGTAGAAATGAGATCAACAAATAGATTCAATAATTTACCATCAGAAGTTTCTGCAGAACTGCCAGTAAATCCCTTGCAAAGTACACAATTAATATTTATGAGTGAGACATGTAGGTCCTACATCTGCCATTGCTTGGTGATTCACTTAATTTCTCTGCAGTTCCATTTTCTTAGTGCTATGGTAGAATAAATTGACCCTACTTCCTGGGGAGAAGTGAGCAAAATTTGATGTGGAAAAAGAATGGATTTAAAATTTTAGAAATGCAATCCAAGTTGGCCAATTCTTCCAAGATCACAAAGAAAAACTCATTTACAAAAAGCTAAGATTTTGTAACTTGATCCAATCCAGAAAAAAGTAAAGCCCCTTATAATACTACAGTTTATTGTTCCCAAGGAACAGAATGACTATTCTTTCTCTGCATAAGATATGACTGTATTAGTAAGAGAAAGTAGTTTTGGCTGTGACACTCCAGAAAAACATGTGAGTAAATTTACTCATATTGCCTCTGCTGCGGAGACTGGAGTAGGCTGGCAACTCCTATGTCCATCTTCATTTGCAAGACTGCAGCCCATTACATCCCTTCAGTACAAAAAAAAATGACTCATAAGAGAAGAACCTCTTGAATTCATATTGGGATAAAGTTTAGTAAGGTAGAAAACATAGTGGAATCATCTTCACCATAGAAAGCAATGGATTCCCCAAAATAGGTGTGGGGAGCTGGAGAAAAATTATTGGTGGGGGAGCACCTGGAAATGGCGAGAGAGAAAGAGAACAAGACAGAGGGCTTCTCGGTTGTACCTTAAATAGAAGGAACCTTACTAGGTACTACTGAGCATGACTACCTCAGTAAAATTTGGATTAAAATTCTACCTCTTGAGTCTTCATAGGTGAACTCAAAAGACACACCTGATTATTCCTGTAAGCCAATTGAGGTCTTGGATACCTCTTCAAAAAGCAAAAAGATAAGTAAAGTTTTTGCTTTCATTACATTAAGACTGTTGCACCTTAAGGCAAACATGCTGTACCTGCCTTATCTTTTGAGTCTCTCTGGGAGCTGTTATTGACAAAAACTGCTTAAAATGGTCTTATAATCTGCATAAAGGTAGTCTATCGCCTTCCACTATCTGGGAGACTATAAAATATGTTCTTCCCCTCTTAAGGGGCACTCCACTTACAACTGATTTTGTTCAAATTTTGCTTATACTAATTGATAAATTGTATTTCAGACCTTAATGACTTCTAAGAATAACTGACCATGCAGGGGACACAACGATTGGTGTTGACTGAAAATTCTCTAGCCCATAAAACAAATTGGTTAGATGAGATAGAGACTTCCAGACTCAGGACAGGCAGGGCCTGTGATTTGTCCCTAATAATCAAGAAGCAGCTATAGAAGATATAATGATTCTACACCCATCATCTTCCCTTGAGATTAAGGTCTGGAATCTCTGAGGGGGAAATGATACAAGCAGGCAGATAGGATCAAATTGATTGGACTTGTGAACTGGATACCAGGCCCTCTGTGTGATCTCTTGCCCCTACCTGACCCCACCTGTATGCCCACCTGCCCATCAGACTATATAACCACTCCCCTTTAGAAGTGGATAAAATGCCTGGAAGATGGTGGGCCCTTCTCTTATTGTCCCACACCTTGAGGCAGGCAGCCTTCTGGCTGCCAGCTCTCTGCTTTGCTGTCTGCATGCTTGCTCCATGTGGCTCCCAGCCTGCTCTCTGCCCAGTATGGACCCCACTTAGTTTCTAGACATCTTTCTCCCCTGAATAAAGCCCTCACTTTCCTGCATATTTCTCTCAGTGAATAAATGCTAAACACACACACACACACACACACACACGGTGGGCGGGGTGGGGGTGGGGGGCTTGCATGTGTCCCCTTCTTCCAGAAGCTCAAGTCCTTATATGTAAAGATACAATCTCTTGTGAAGTTTAGGATATTGAAAAATTCTTTTCTAACCTTCATTCTAGTTAAGTGTGTGATAGGTTAGGGAAAACAGGCAGGATGAGGAAAAAATGGCAACAGCACCAAGTGGAAAGACTTGATCTCCTCTATAGAGGCTTAATCACAAATGAACCAAGATGGAACTCTTTCATCCTCACCCTTACCCCAACCCAATCCTGAGTATCTCTAGGCAAAGCCCTCTAGGACCCACCAAGTGGAGAGAAACACAAGCCTTCAATAGCAAAAACAACCACACTAACCACATGGCTGTCCACCATAATTTAGTAAAAAATAGGTGTTCCAGATCAGTAGAAATACATCTTCCAAGGCACACTGTGAGTACAGCATAAGACATTTTAATGGATACTTTTCACTTTTTAAAGTACTATGCAAATAAAAGTAATTAACTTAATTATATACATCTTGACCCAAAGTTATTGTTCTGGTCATCTGTCTTTAATACCAAAGTAATTTTTTAAATGCCTTCATTTCAACATCCTGAGTTGAAAGCCCCTTTGCATTAAGTATAATCTCTTTATTCATCAATTTGCTTTTTCCCAAGACAGGCTAGGACAGAGTGTGAATAGACAACTGTAGCTCAGAGCATAAATAAGAAGGCACTACATCCATTCAATGAACTGTTTTGGAGCATTGACTTTGTTCCAGATGGTGTGAAAGGTAACAGAGACAAAAAATAAAGAACAATTTGTGCTCTCAGGAGACCTCATTCCAGGAGAGGAGACACACAATTCAGTTGAATTTAGGACAGGACATTCTGTGACAGGAGTGTCACTCTTCTTAGGTACAAAACAAAGCAATGAACATATTCCAAGTAGTTGGCCTGCTCTGTGGTTGGCAGGGTTATCCTAATACCTCTGATGACATGCCTACACAGGGGGAGTTTAAACTGATTGCCTAGTGATTGAGTCTGGCAGATATGTTGTTGTGAATTAGATTTGTTAAGAACCCTAGATTGTGAGAAACACAAACTCATTCTAGAATGTGATGTGGATATGGGAGGCAGTGAACAGTAAAATAATAATAAACATGGAAATACAAAGAACAAATCTCAACCATGCCAAGGTGGTCTCCTATGGCTGATTAAAGTTTGGGCACTAAATCATAGTACCTACAGCTGAATTCAAAGTTCTATTCCCCATTTAACATTTCTCGCCCCTATTTTCTTCTGTGTAAATGGATTAATAACAGCATAACAGTACTCACTTCAAAGAATTCTTTTGAGGTTAGAAAGAATATCCTTGAAAAATTATAAATGATTCTGGAAAGAAATAAGAGCTCAACAAATGTTATCTATTGTCAGTGTTATGTTCCCAGTTTCCACCAAAACCTAAGTGGTAAGAGTTATTTGTGAAAAAAAAAATCAATTGTAATTGGCCAAGCCTCATGAATTGTGGAGCATCATGAACTGATAAGTTATCAAGAACCTGAGTACTGCAAATGTACTCAGGTACTCCCCTCACTTCCAACTCTTCCTCACTTGTGGAGCTTTTGGATTCCCCTTGCCTTCACCACCATGACCCAGTGTTTCTCCCTCATTCTATATCTATAGCTGCTTTCCTTGACCTCGCTGCTTCTGATTACTCATGATATCCCCACTCTTGGCTTTCTCTCTGTATGGTATTAACCACTGCCCTCATTCCCTACTCCCAGTGCTCTGTATTCTACAACCAAACTTCCAAAGAGGAATTCAGTAATTAGAACTGCTGATATCTTTGTGAGGCAAATAATCTTAATCAAGATTTAATAGTCATTTATCATGTCATGTTAGATCCCTTGACTTGGGTATCTGCTCTTGGTACAATCAATAACGGCTCCCATGGTGGCTTCAGATGGAAAAGAATGGTCACCTGTTGCCCACTTTGTCCATATTTGTGAATCTAATTTTTACATCATTTGTGCACTCATTCACAAATTTGCCTGCTTTTATATGGACTTTTAGAATTGATCACTTGAGTGTCTATAGTGTGTTTGTTAGGACTCTGTTATAGGTGCTATAAATACCAGGAAGATTACAAAATCGTCATTACTTCAATGACAGCAAACAGCTAATTCTAGTGTACAGTGGAATAATGACATGAATATGTGCAGACAAGCACACACACACACACACACCCCTGTGTGTGCTTCACATCGAAGGGCTGGGCTAGAACCTCCTAGAAAGCAGCAGTGACTGTTTGAAGGCGAGTAAGGCTTGTGTGGTTCATGGGTTTACTTCCAT